GCAATACATTTTCATAGTAAAAAAATGACTGGCAGTACATTATTGGAAAAGGAAGAGAAAAATAAGCAGCAATACATTTAAAAAATAAATACCAAAGCTCCCAAGAAAATTAAATTTTGGCATTAAATGACCTAGGAGTTGATATGCCATACCCAACAGTAAGCATTATTCTCTTAAATATCCTGTGTTAATATTACATTGTAAAAAGCATTATAATCATCCAATTTTTGTTTGTGGCTGTGTTGTGTAACATAGAAAAAACAACATGTTAATAGCAGTATTTTTGTTAGAGGAATATCATATTATAAATATTCTAACTTGAAGAATAAAGCATTTCCTTGTTCAATTAGTCACTCAATGAGCATTTACAGTCAGTATTTGTGCTTGGCCCAATAATAATGATCTGATTTTTGTATGTTTCTTTGTGTTTCTTTTTTCTTTGCTATAGCAACTAAAAAGAAAATCCTATCAACATTGAGAGGAGCCAAAGAAATGAAAAAATAAAATGATAAAATAAGGGTAGCTTTGTGATGTCAAAAATAGTGTCATAGAAAAAATATCAATCTTTTTATTGAGCATTTTTATGCTTCATTACAAAATACAATTTTAAAAAAAATTTAAATTAAAAAAAAATCATTTAACATTGGATTCTTGTTGATAAGGGAATAGTAAAATTAACTTAAATTTGATTTTAGTTGTTGTCCTGTTAATTACAGTGTCATCTCTCTTAATTCATTTCCAAATTATAATAAAGATTGTATATGACTTGACATTAAGCTTAAAAGTTGCCTTTGAGAGCTTTTAAATAAGTAATATTAAAAATATTATTAGCAACATCAGGATTTTTTTTCTATATATTTACTTATTTACCCCTAACTCTGATGCAGCTCAGTTTAGAATTGATTCTAACATAGCACCAATCTTCTATACTCCAATGGCAATATTCTCTGGCCCAAACTTAACCAGAGGATATTGCCATTGGACTATGGGAAGAGTGACTGATGCTGTGGTGTTAATAATGGTACTATTGTTGATTGGTGATTATGAAACTCCATCGTGCATTGACAGATGGGCACCAGTGTTGAATAGGGATGTGATTTGATGCAACCTTCCACATTTCTTGTATTACCATTTTTGTTCATTGTGACAGTTGAATTTTTGCATCACCTGTGGACAGCCAGTTTTCTCTATCTGATGTCTGTCTAGAATTCACATATTCCTGGTGTACTCTTGCTGTTATTGCCTGAGGAATGAACCTAAAGCAATTGTAGATAGTGCCTCATTTTCCTCACCCAACAATCATTCTGTGATCAGTGTTAAATTCATATCCCATGGCTGACACATATACACTTTTGCTTTTATGCTATATATTGTTGGATATATGCCATCTGGTTGAGTCCATTTTTACAGACAGAAGGTGGGGAAGAGCAGAACAATCCACTGTACAGTCGGTTCTATAATTTTTATTTTTTTAACTTTTTGTTTAGATAGGAAAATTGATTTATATGTTAGTATGCAACAAGTATTCATTAAAAAAACATTACGTAAGTTCAGTTTGATATTTTTTCCCAGTAAGCAAACTAGAATTTTGATCAGTATTTTGGATGCTTAATTTTTGCATAAGAATTATTACTCGAGTTGCTTAAATTGTTTTCATTTTTGTTATGTCTGAGTCTAAGATTTAGAAAAGACATTTCAATGTAACTACGAGAGTTACAATTCTTGATTATAGTATAAAATAATGTCTGTCTATATTTCTGTGATGAAGTATTGTAACTATTTACACTATTTACATTATCCAAACTGTTGTCCTCATCTTTATTGCCATATTCATGACATTTCGTCCATTGTATGCTCCAGCCTTCTTCAGGTGATATGTTGGAATTTTGGACCAAACCCTTTTAGTTCATGGAGGTATATTCCATATACCATGCTTTTTATGGATATCTCAGTTTCAGTTAATTCCCATTAGTAACTCAACTCTTCAAGTTTTTGTTCCCTCTGATGTGGTCAGATATTGAACTCACAATTCTTTGGGTCAGGTCACTTTTTGGATCACTCAACCAGCACTTCTATCCATGTGGGCCATGGAACATAGAATAGTCTATCCCTGTGGACTAAATAAAGGGTTTGGTTCAAAACTCCACCTTATATCACCTGAAGAAGGCCGGAGCATGCAATAGCTGAAACATTGTGAATATGGCAATAAAGATGAGGACAATAGTAGTGTAAATATGAAATAATGTATTTAGTAAATCTTTATTTATCTTTTCTTTTTTTTTTTACTTGCTTAAAAGATTTAATCAAATTTAAGTACAGTTCTTTAAAGAAAACTATATAGTCTGTATTTATTTTCATTTTGATATGACATTTAATTTTTTTCTATTTTGGTTGAGTAAAAATTTTGATGGTTGTTATTTCCTTTTTTATGTGGATTAAAAAAAGATAAACTTTTCAAATATCAGTTCTACAAGCATTTTCAACAACATGTGACCTACATATATAAGATAACTTTGGGAAGTGTCTACTTAGAGTAATAATGAGTGAAATCACCATGGTGATAGCTTGTTTTTTTGGGTTTTTTTGTATGTATTTAAGGCAGAGCAAATAGAATTTGTACAGTAATTATATTGCTCAGAAGTGGTTCAGGAGGAATTTAAATGAAAATGAATAACTTGAAATTGCACCTCTTCTAGGACAGCATGTAGTCACTGGTGATAACCAACTGAGGACTTGTGTTGGATTTAATCCACTTCAAACATATCAAATGCATATATTAGGTTTCAACATTTGCAGCTGTTCGAAATCTGAAAAAAAAAAAAGATACATATTAGGGAAATAGGTATCTTTATGAAGTGGAAAAAACAAAGATGTATAAGCTTTTTTTTCTACTCTATTGCTCACCTTCTTTTGATTAATTTTTTTCTAGTATTGTGTACTCTGATTTCTATTTTATTTTCTTGATCCTTGTTCTGGAAGTATGAATCCAACTCTTCTCCACTTGCTAGTGAATAATAGCAGAGTAGACTTGGCTCACTAGATTTGATTATCATACAGTCTAGGAAAAGGACAACTCTGAATTCCAAAAAACTTCAGGATTTTAAGTTATGTTATTTGCATGTCATTGAGGATATATGATAATCATTAGAATGAGTGAACTAAGTTCAAATTCCAGCTTATTCTATTATGTTCACTTTCACACTAATGTCCTTGGGGAAAGGTATGAATTAAATAGCAGGGTAGACTGGGCTCTCTAGCTTTGGTTGGCAGTCGGCCTAGAAGGACAGATCTGAATTCAAAGCCATGGGGCTAGCAATTTCCCCAAACCCTGCAAAAACTACTTGCTACAAAAACCACAGTTGCAGCATCTAAACTACATTTAAGCTGCTAGTGGCATGCTGATAGGCCACCGATGGCAATGCCAGCAGCGCTCTGGCGATAGTAACTGGCAGGCCACCAGTAGGCCTCTAGTGGTCTGCCAGTGGCCCGATAGCAGGCTGCATGCAGTAAACGCTAGTGGCATGCCACCGGCTTGCTTGTACGGTAGCATGGAGAGGCTGTGGTGGATACTAAACAGGGGAGCCAACATGGTTAATAACAATCTCTATTCTGGTTTAGATTTATTACTCACTCATCATCTTTGTTTCCTTGTCTCTCTTTTTCCTTGCCTATTTTGACTTTCTTTTTCCGAAATATTTACAGTAACACATGCGTATTTATTTTTATTTGTAATTACTGGAACCTGAATAGACTGTTATAATAGTCGGTTAACTTGCATAAATGATACATTGAAAGAGAAGACTTTTGGTTGTGAAGTTGAAGAAGAGGATCATAAGGAAAGAAAGTTCTTTGAAAATCAACACATTCTCTAGAACTTTTAGGTTATCATTTTCTTTATTTTTATGGATAAATCCATTTAAGAAAAATGCAACCATATGGTGAGTTGTTCATGAAAATCACATCTTTTCATTTGTATCATGTCCTTCTTACAATGTCTGATTGAATGTCTTTAAAAGTTGTCTTAAATTAATATATATATTATATATATATATATATATATATATATATATATATATATATATATATATATATATATATATATATATATATATATATATATATATATATATATATATATATATATATATATATATATATATATATATATATATATATATATATATATATATATATATATATATATATATATATATATATATATATATATATATATATATATATATATATATATATATATATATATATATATATATATATATATATATATATATATATATATATATATATATATATATATATATATATATATATATATATATTATATATATATATATATATATATATATATATATATATATATATATATATATATATATATATATATATATATATATATATATATATATATATATATATATATATATATTTTTTTTTATCCTATTTGATACCAACCATGCTGCAGATACAAGAACAGAAAAAAGATAACAAAAAGACAAATTCACTTTTATCTTGTAAAGTCAATAATAAAATAATTTCTCAAAAAAAAAACTACCAACAGTGAACATATGTCACAAAAATTTGATTTGCTTTGTTGTTTCATTTTTTTAATCTGCCAGTGACAATGCATTTTATATATATATATATATATATATAAAGTATGATGTATTGATCTGTTTTAGGTAGATTGATTTTTTTTTTCTATGGCCCACCAATCCCCAGGAGGCTATACAAAATCAGAAAACATTTCTAGATTGTATGACTTTTTCTTTTTTTTTTTTTTTTTTTTTTGAAATAATAATGATTTAGTGATAAAAATCTTACTAATTAACCCATAGCTGGGAGTGAGAAAAGGTGAATTCATACCTTTTCTTATTGGGTATTTGTGCATAAGTGAATATAATGAATCCAACTGGAATTGGAACTCAGCTCACCAACTTCCAATTCCGAGCCATTATCACTTACACTACCTACATATCCAGGCTTACAGCAACCGGTATTCCCAAGCAGTCGCCCACCTAAGTACTGACCAGTTTCAACATAGCTTAACTTTGCTGATCATATGGGAACTGGTATATCAACATGATGGGATAGCGCTCTAAGCTAAGCTCTGGCAGCAATTTGTCTTTTTGCAAATGGCTATGACTTTCTCCTTAAGCATAATGTCTATAAATACATTGATTAATTAATTTCTTTCTGTAAAATTAATTACATTTAGTTCTATGCATATCTATTGATTTCTCATAACTTTTCTATTTAAATATTTTGATGTTATGGAACAGAGTAGAGTTCAAGAAATTAAGAGAACTTAAATGCATTTTAACTTTTAATTTTTTAAAATTCATCTCTCTCCAATATATTTTAAAAATTTTGCTATATTTATAGGGCAAGTGATCAATATCAGAGAGAGAGAGAGAGAGTTGTGGATATAGGAATCAACACTTTATAGTAACTGGCAGTTTCACACTTCAATGCAATCTTTAGGCCAAGTAAAAATAAGTAATAAATATACATATATAAGCAATCTGGAGATCATAATCATTAAACTTATTTACATACTTCCTCCAACCACCCAAGCAGCATAAACATTCTAATGTTAATACTGGTTGAGTATTTATCTGAAAAATCTCCCAAATCTGGATATTTTTCATGTGGTGATATAACTTGTGACAAATGGAAAATTTCAGAGAGCAACATGACTACTTATAGTATGATTATTGCATTGCAACATTACAAATAAAATGCTGACTTTTTTCAGTTTTCATTATGTTTAACTGTAATCATAATCCGTTTTGTTTTTATACAAATACTGCACCTGTATATATTATAACATTTTAATCAAAACACAACATCATTGGTAGACTCATAGGTTAACTTCTCACACTCAGAGTGATGTCATTATTGATGTACCCTCTCCTTCCAGTTTCTCATATCTGATGTAGTAGTGGTGTTTGAGGCTGCATTTATATATTTTTTGTAAGTAGTGATCAGGATTTTTTGTACATGTACAGAAAGTACAAAATATTATTTTTATGTGAAAAGTTTATATAAAATTACTTTCAGGGTATATTTTATTTATATAAAATTACCTTCAGGGTATATGTATAAGCTGCTGTGTTATGAAATGTCAGAGGATATCATGTTTATGCTTGGGTTCCATTCCCAAGATGCTTCAATTTATAGATACTATATCCAAATTACATAGACTGTATTCCAAAATCCAAAAAATTCTGAAAGCCGATGCACTTCCAGCCCCAAGAATTTCAAATAAAGGATTGTCAACCTGTAACTCAGTATTAATCCTGAATAAAAGAAACTGGAAATGTATAGCATTGAATTTTTACATGTAGAAAAAATACCTTGGTAAATACTGAGCATTTACAGAAAAAAAAAACAGTGGTGTTGGACATAGTGGTTAATGTTTCAGGAGATGCGGATTGTTTTACAAGCATGTCACATACACTCTTTATTGTTGACAGATATGCATAGCTAATGTGTACAATGTGGAAAACTAGTATTTTGTACCTGGAAACTTGCTCTATACAATGATAATTTTGTACTCTCTGTATCTATTGTAGTTTCCATTGTTTATTGGATTCATTCATATGTGAGGATATTGGCCAAAAAGTTTGTTCAATTCTGTTGGTTAAAATCTTCATAAGTAATGACTGTAAATCACTTCCCCTCTCCATTTTATAGGCAGAAGCACACAAATGCATGCTGGGATTTTTTCTTAGCCAATATAATAGGCTGGTTCTTACTTTCATATGAGTCAGTCCTGATCTGTCTTTTCTTGAAGTCAGAATGCTACATTTATCTGAATTTGCTCTTGTGTGTCGACCCCATTCTTAGTTTGTGAACATTTTGCCTTATTACTTTTAATTTGCCTTGCATATATTGTTTGCTTGTTTTAAAATATATTTGCTCTATTCTTTTTGTGTTGTTGTTTATTGCAAATTTTGTCAATTCTGTTTGTTGGGCAGTTCTGCCATTTATTTACATTTAACCATGGCCACTCACTCTACAAGTTTTTTAAATAGAAAATTTACTTAATAATCAACTGAGTAAATTGCAACCATGTTATATTTAAAATTTTGTGCATACATGTTGTTTTTGATTTTATTGACTGAACAGTATAATAGGATCAGTTGGGAATTGTCTGAGAAAAAGAGCACCATGACGCAATTCTCTCTGGCAAAAATTTAGAAATGGTATGCATTACTGTTTGGCATTCATGACTAAAGATCCAATACAAACATTTCAGAATTTTGGGGTGTCAATTTGAGGACAGTGCAGAGGATTTGGAAAGAGTTGGATGAGTCTAATGGTGATTATGAAGGTATGGCAGCTCAGAAACCTCACTCAGATTGTTCTGATAAGAAAAGAATTCTTGAATTTTTTGGTGAGGGCCCCAGACTCAACATGGAGGCCTACATCAAGTGTCTTGAAGTGGTAGTGCTGCCCTAGGTCAAGAGGATGTCTGCTGCAAGACCCTATGTCTGACAACAGGACACTGTACCAGTCATGGACATCAGACAATTTCTGCAACAACACCATTTCATACATCTAGTTACCTAACTCCCCAGACCACAAACCCCTTGATTATTATGTGTGGGGTATAGTTAAGTGAGAGACCAACAAAACTCCTTGTAACACCAAAGGAACTGAATGCAGGGATTATGGCAGCATTCACTAACTTAAACAAGGAGACTGTCCAGAAGAGTTGCAGGAGATTCCAAAGTCATCTGGAGGCCATAGTTGAAGACAATGGTGATTTTATTGAATAAATTTAGTCTTTAATATTTCAAGATATTTTTGTGTAATTTTGGCAAATATATATTAAAATGTGATGTCAGTATTATTTTCCATTTTGTGTAATTCAGACAGCAATTTACCCATTGCAGTGTGTGTATATATATATATATATATATATATATATATATATATATATACACACTATATTATAGGATATTACATTAGAAAATATGTATAAACTGCTACATAAATGTACTCGATGTTTCGATGCATATGATCACATCTTATCAGGTGGCAGTAAATGAGGATTTTTACAATTTTTAATATTTATTTACAAGCAAATAATTTTCCCATGAAAAAAAGAAGAGAAAAAAAAGAAAGACAGACACAAGATATAGTCTCTTCTACAAAGAAAAGGAAGACAAGAGAAAAAAATAAGGAAATATAGAAATGTAAAGTATGCCATGAAATTTAAAATTGCAATGGATACATATGGAATATTTGAAACATCATTTTTGATACAGTGTTGATGATGAGTGGCTGACATTTTTACTGAGGAAGCAACGTAATTTAACAATCATTATTTTATAGTATGTAAATAATAAGGCTCTTTAAGAAATAAAAGGAGAAAGCAAGAAAAATATTTAACAAAATGACAAAACAAAATTAAATTAAATCAAAATATTTAAATAAATAAAGTAACCAAAACTTTTAAGTATATGGACCATATAAAATAATAAATTATAAAAATTATACTCAATGGAGTGTGACAGTTAACTAAAGATTTTTATATGGGTATTAAAAAAGTAAAACAATAGATAATGTTATAACGCCAGCCAAACTTATATAGCTCTAGATAAAATATTACCAGTAATGTTCGAGGAATAATGTACAAACTATAGTACATTGAAAAAAAAAAAAAAAACTAAGTATAAGTTTTAAATGTCCACCACAAGGTTATTCAAGATAAAAGAAGTGATTATCAAATTTTAACGTTTAGCAAGATTGTAAGGTCAAAGATGAAATGTGTTTACAATTGATAGTTCGAATATTTGATTTAATAACTTGTCCCTATTTAAAAATCTGATTATCTGCATTTTCTGCTGTAGACACAGAAAACAAGGTTCATATAAAGATCTACGTATTCTAGCTAGTTTTAAAATTTTCCATTTAACTTTAGGGGTTTATTTTCTTCTTTCAACTTCCAAAAATATTTAGAAAGTGAAGTACAATTTCTATAAGTAGCATTAATAAAAGGAGATAGGTGCTTATACTAAGTGTTCTTGGTGCTGTCAATATAAAACTTTTTCACCCCCGGATTTTCTGTTGAGATAGAATACAGATACACAAGTGATTCAGTTAAGCATTTGTTAGACAATGGGCTTTGATTAGGATTCTTAAAATTACATTCATTGCTGTCCTTAACAATATTTGCATTAGTACTTGCATTATAGTTAAAACTATGAAATTTGTTGAGTATTTTATTGTTATGCAACTTTATTATTTTCTCAAGATTAATAGTACAGATATAGCTAAGTTTTAATGTATTCCTATTAAAAATTTTACTAAGGGGATTGCATTTCGGAAAATGTTTTCTCTATTAATTTCAGAAGCTTATGCCCTAACTTTGTACTAATTGGTTAAATGGAGGTGTGCACCAGATGATCTTCCTGTTTCTGTTTCTTTGAACTACTGTCATATTCCATAAACTGAATTTAAGTGGACTTATACTCACTATTCCTTAGAACTTTATTATACACACTTATTTGTTAGAAGAGTGTTTGCTAATCTGACATTCTACAGAGGAAGGAATATGTCGGATTACAGATTGTGGATAATTGTAATTAGGATGGATATAGATTGGGTTGGCATTGTTCTTCATATAAGGCTGAAAATCTTTATAGCCTAAATCTAATGTTACATCTAGAAAATCAAATTGTTTGATATTAGTACTTATTTTCACATTAAGATCTAAAATTTTAAATTCCCTATGAATCATTTTTCTAAGTTTATCAACTTTAATTCTCATAGAGTTTTTTACAATCATCAGATCATCATCTCTATACAGCCCTATACTATCCAGAGTAATCTCTTCATAAGCAGTAAGATTATACAAAATAAATAAACCAACTAAATCAGAAGATTTTACAGAATCTAAGGATCCCATCAAAATGTCAAAGTTATTGTCACAATTTTTTATCCACAGTTCTTTCTGTGGATGAGAACAGATATAGATACACATACATACATACATACATGTGTGTACTGTGTATATATGTAATATATATATATATATATATATATATATATATATATATATATATAT